GGGGGGGGGGGGGGCAAGTGGGCAAGATCAAGATTGCTGGTCATCTTGCACCCCATTCCCGGCACTGCGCTAGTACTACTTCGACTGCTTCGTGCCAGCACCAGTACAGACCCCCCACCCCCCTTCTCGCACTTACCAAATCCGGCTGGGCGGTGACAGCTATCCTCACTGTGGCAGTGGCAAAAATGTCAGGGGTGCAGACTCCCTATCTGTGACAACGGCGGAAGTTGTGGCTCATGAGTTGCAAACTCGACAAGGAAGACACTGCTAAACCAAAGGTGGTAGAACAGCACGAAATTGCTGCAGATATCGTGCAAAACGCAGGTGCCGCCAAAAAGGTTTTAGCACTGCCTGAAGCCGAAAATCCATAAAGATTACAGGCATGGGAGGGCTCGCCAAACTGCTACTCCTCTGCTCAGCCAGGACAGTGTTTGTTTGGCGTGCACATACGGATGCACATTGGTGGCATGGACGTAGGCATGGCTTAGGCCTGGATGATGTGTCCAATGTATGCATAGAAGCTATCATGGGTTTGCAGATGCACTAGCCAGCGGAGGCACCAGGCATGGCTGGGTGGCACGTTCTCATGTCGTGGTCTGGCCTAGATGCTCTAGCCAACGAAAACGAATGCACTGGTAACACGGAGTCCAACCGAGACTGCCGCAATGTGAAACAGTCATCTGAAGCCAAGGGCTCCATCCTAGTACACGCAGAAGAGTCGGAAGCCTCATGCACCTGGTACCAGTGATAGTACTGCTAGACATGGCTAGACTATGCACAAAAGCTAAGATTGGTAATCGAGTGCCAACACGGCTGGTAAGGTAGTTTGCGGAATGGAAGTACTAGCCACAATACATCTGGGAAAGAGAAGGGTCAGAGGGTCAGAATGAGAATCAAACTTTAGTCGTCGTGCCATCGTAGTCATGGCCGCAATGTCAACAGTATTCCCCACAGCTTGCTGCCCGAGGACATGGGTGGCAGATTAGAGCTAGACGAGGTGGTAACGGGACTGATGAAGCTGCGCGGCCCAGTTTCCAAGACAGCACCTCGGAAGAATGTCAATTGCTGTGCTTCCACATTCCATTGCGTGACTTCCCATGTCATTTCTGGCATAATGTACCGGCGACAGTTGAAGCTCTGCGAGAGGTTTCGGCCAGCCAGCTGTTCCAAAGCCAAGGACTTGATCGCCATCAGGTTGCAGGTGCGCCTTTTGATCCAGAAGGCACTAGAGGATGAGTGAGCGCGCAGAGATTTCCCAGAACGGGCACGTGTGCTTCAGGAAGAACGTTTCACAGCCATCGTGCCACAGGGCATCTCACAACTTCTCGTCACGTTCAGAACATTGCCCAGATGCATGGGCTTCGGCCAAGTGACCTTGTAGGTCTGCGAAAAACAGCCTCAGAGAGCGGCTGCAGGATGATGGTTTAAGTTGTTATAGGCTGTCGAAAATGGTGCATATGCTACACCTGACCTCAGCCAGCAGCACTGCTCGGGTTTTGGAACTCAACAAACCTGGAGGCATAATTCGAGCTGTGTTATTTTTGAGCTGCAGGTCATGCAGAGCAGGGCCAGGCAGGATCCAACTGCACAACTCCCAAAACCTTCAGGGGCTTGTGTCGGAAGCAAGTCAGGAGAGAGCACCAGAGCCAGATTCTAGTTGAGGCCTTTGTCCAGGACCTTACCCCTTTTGATCTGCCTGGCAACTTCTCCTGGTGGAAATGCACCGCAAGAACTGAAAAAAAAGATGCAAACCTCAGCTCTAGCAGGAAGCTGCAGAATTGACTGTGTCTGCCAGTCCTCGAGAAGCAGGTCGCGCACGCTGCGTGGGCAAGCCCACGAAAGCATTGAAGCATCTGCATTCAGCTCGCCAGTGTGTGACTGCAGCAGTACTTTCATGTCATGTGTGCGACGTGCTTCGCTGAAAGGATATCTGCCATGAATAAGAGCAGCAACCTTCTTGCTCCCGAACGGGAGACCGAGAGTAGCTCCTTGTTTTAAGCAGGACATGTGAAAAAGTCCACGAGCATATGCCGAAGAAGAGATATTTGCACCATGGTGGTGATACGTGATCCAGCTCAGTGAGCCTCGAAGCCTCGAAGCTTCAGCTCTGGCTTGGCATTTGTCTGCTCAAACCTCGAGAAGAGAGTTGCGTGATGTACCGACACCCCAACATGGGAGCAAATAGAATCTCAAGCTTTACCTAGGAATCTAAGATTAGTACTGGTTTTGTGCTGCCGAAGTGTTGCTCACAACCTCGACCGCCAGAGCTTCCAAAAGCAAGCTCACGCGGTGGATGTGGGGACGATTCCCGCTGGTTGCAGCGGTATTAGCTACAGCGCTGAGCGTGACTTGGCCAACACATGTGAAGCATGTTGTGCGCAGAATGTAAAGCGTTTCAGACAACGAAGCTAGGTAGTCCCAGCTGCGACATCAGCACACCACATCTGAAGCAAGCATCCGTCCGTCCATCCACCCATCCATCCAGGCATGGATGCAGCCAGCCGACCAGCCAGCAAGGCATGAATGCATGCACGCACACAGACAGAGACAGACACAGAAACAGGCTGACATGCACACAAACATACATACATAAACAGGCACATCTGGCCACTACTTACTAGGTGGTCGTTTTCCTGCGGATCTCTGACATATGCATAGATTATGCACATACAGATATCACACACACACACACAGACAGAGAGACGAGCGCGTGCGCATGTTTTCAAGCCGCTCTCGACGTTTGTTCCTGATGCAACAGAGAACGCCCATGTCAGATAATCCGTTCAGATTGAAAGCCTCAATAAGTCCAAAATGTGTATGAACTTCTTGAAATCCTCCGAACTAGCAGGAATCTGAATTTATCTTGTTACGATCCCATGAAGTTTCTGCTACGCCGCTGGCGGGCTGCAACTAGAGGGGGATCTGAAAATGACGGGATGTATGTGACTTGACTGCTTGTCTTGAGGTGGGAGGGGGCCTCGGTTTCGCGAATCGGCACCCTGGGCCAAAATCTTGACAGCTGCCTCAGGCCAAGCCGCGATGTCGAGACTTCGCTGGTACAGGAGTCTGGCATGACTGTATAGTGCGGTGCCTTCGGCTGCAACAACATTGGACTGTCAAGCAGGTGCACGGCCATCCGACTCAACCAAGCTGAAGCATCAAGCAGGAGCCTGTAGAAATGCACCTAACAGCTGCAACCTTCCACCAAGTGTGAACGAACAGGATAGTACGTTGGTATGCCACTGAAGTGGCATAATCGACGACCCTTGCAATGCAAGAGCATGCTGCCCTCAGGGTTCATCCCGGGCCCCCAGCCCCAAAGCTTGACATCCAAAGCCTGAGCTCCGAGCAGTTGAGCAGACGCTTGCAGAGCAGAGCTGTAGAAATTGTCGCCGAGGATCGGTGGCTTGGCTATCCAGGGAGCCGCAGTGTTCGAGAGTTCCTTCAGCCCGACTTTCCAGGAGAAGCACCAAAAAGCTGAAATATTCAACATTCCTTTTCTATCGTCTGCCTAATCTCAGAAGCACGATTGCAGGACTTCTTGACACGGCGCCTCAATGAATCTCATGGACTGGAGTTCGAGTCCGTTCCATTGGACTTTAACCAGATGCTAGTTTGCAATGCCTGGCTGGCCCTTCCGCTGTGGAGAGGGCCGATGCTTTCCCTTGCTGTTCTCTTCCCTAGCTGCAATCTTGCTGCAAGGAACTTCGAGTTCGTCAGCAGCGGTGGAGTCGATTTCATTTTCAGCGCCTTTCCAGCAGTTTGGGAGACCAGCAGCCACATCTGCAATTTCCCAACACTTCCCATGCCTTAGGTAACCCAGCGGCATACACTTGCATGGCCGTGGAGTTCAACTTGCAGACGGTCGCGTCGCTTATCAACTACCGCAAGGGCAATGCTCTTGGAAAATTCGCAGGTACCTGGGCGGCCTGGGCTTGAAGATCGCCGGAAGAATTTCCCTAAGCAGTCCCAGACTCCGAGAGACCAGTTCTATTTCCCTCAGAGTTACACGGCCTTGATGAGGGCTGCTTTCCTGCTCAGCTACTGAGTCCCATCACACTGAGGCGTGATCTTTACCAGGCCTGGCGGGAAAGGATACGGCGGTCAGCCGAGCGGGGGGCAGGGGGACACTTGATGCACGGTGCAAGTGTGTTGAGTCTAGTCTTGTTAGGTCACGGTAGCACAAGCGAGTGTGTTTTCTATCCGCATGTGTACAAGTAGCATGAACTAGCACTCGTCCTCGTGCCGATTTGCATCGATTGTGGTGACGAACAGCGAATGATGACTTGCACGAGGGGGCCCCTCGCACTTTTTCACATGCAGAGGTATGTGTCCGCCGCACCCCATCTTGAGAGTGCTAGATGCATTGAAAAACCCTGTCCTGAGATTCAGTTGCCGGGCAGTTGCCTGCCGCTATTCACTGAGAATATGTATATGTATATATATATATACATATATATATATATGTTTGTGTGTGTGTTGGTAGATTCAATGGTTCGCATTAGGAAGGTTTGCAAAGTTGCGGTCACGTTATTTGTGTCATTTGCTTGGCTCCGGCGGCTTGGGACGGGCTCGTCTCTCGTTAACTTGGAACAGAGCCCTATCGAACCTCTTTGCAGTCTTTCCGACCGAAATTACGTCATGGATACGATCTAGGAATATCTAGGATGCATATAAGCTGATTTTTTGAGGTGGCCATTCTTTTGCCCTGAGGCAAGACTCTCCTTTTCAAACCTTCGACGACCTGCGCACTGCCAATGTGGAGGCCGTTTACCAGGATCTTGAGCTCTGGGTATAGTTCTGTTGGTAGAACTTTGCTTTGTACTACTGATGATTACTACTGATGGTGGCACTAGCTGACTAGCAGTGGTAGGCAAACTTCGCATGAATTGTATCAGTCTCATGCAGATGTTTCTTGCTGGTGCTAGTATAGCCCTTTGCCGAGAGCATTGCTTATCGCAGGTGCTGTGTGATAAATCGAACTCGTTCTCGTTGTTGTCACGGTCGGATCGTTGCAGTAGCACTGATCGCACACCCAGTTTAAACATGCATGTGTGTGTGTGTGTGGGTGCGTGCGTGCGTGCGTGTCTGCGGGTAGAAGCACATTACCACATAGCACTAAGTACATTCCTTGTCCTTCGTTCATATGCCATCTCTGCTACTGCTTTTGCTGAGCAGCTACTGTGAGAACTGCAGCTGTCATGATTATCGTTATGCGTGTCGGGCGACAGCAGGCCAGCTGGACGCTAGTTGGTTCGGAAAAAATGAGTGAAATCTGCCACATGCCCCTTACTGAAGAAGGGCGTCCATACGCCATCCGCCACCCGAACCCCTGTCTCCTTCTATCCTTTCTCCACCCCATCTCCGCGGCAAGCCCAGCCCCGCCCCTAATGCCGCGAGAAGTTTTGCGATCACAGTTGCGAGTGAAGCGTATGCTCTTCCCGGAGTGTCGGGCTGGGCAAAGCCTCGAAGCACGAGTGGGAGCGTCGGACCGACATGCCATTGATACCAACGAGTTACAAGCAAGTGAGCATCAGCGGCCAAACGCTTAGCCGCATGGCGACGATCAGGGCCAGCAAGCGGGGCAAGTTGCAAAACTCGCTGTTCACGCGGAACGCGGATAAGTCGGACAGGCATGGCAAGTGGCAGAAACAGTTAAACCAGTCATTCCACGTTCCATGTGATTGCATGTTTCCGTCCGAATTGATACTTGTGAGAAGCATGCCTGCGGCGTATCTTTTGTTGGGAGGTCACCGCACGTACGCGGACCTAGCACGGCCGTGGTGATGTGTCATCTTTGTGCTACCGCTTCGCACTTGTTTTGCCATCTCATCGAGTCTTGGGGTGCCATGAACGTTACACAGGAAGACCGCGTGAGCAAAGCAGCTTTCCGAAGCTCTTTTGCACAACTTGCGAAGGGTTTCTTGGGTGTCTCCAGTACTCATACCTTCCCGAAACTATCCTTCAAGAAACGTGCGCGCCTCCACCTCGGCAAGGCCGTTTCAATCTCTGGATTGGGTGGCCGGGCTTGACCAGCCAGGAAGGGAATGAGTGAGTTTGTGCCCTCCGCACGTGCTGCTCAGTGCCCAGTTGCCTTTGACCGGTTTTGCATCTAGAGCGATTCTCGGACTCTACTAGGCCATCGTCCAGATTGCACGTGAGGAAAGCACTCAGGTTTGCCAATTGCCATTCCAACTGAGGTGCAATGCAGCTCCAGCAAGCAGAACCTTGGCCTACAAAGCCACCACACTTTGGTCCTCCCTCCCCCGCTTGCTCGCTCTGTCTCTCGCTCTCTCTCTTACCCTCTCTCCCCCTCCCGCTTTTAATGGTTCCAGCGGGACAGGATGCGAGTCGTTGAAGCCTAGAGTTGAGTCGAATAATGAGAGCCTCAGAGCCAAACGACATACTATGCTGCCCGCGTCCAGAGAAAGCCGGCATCTTCCAAAGCCAACTCGGCGTGTGTCAGATTTTTCTGGCTGCGTCCCATTTTTTGTGCTGCAGCTTGGATCCAGGCCGGGCCCTTTGTAGCTCAGCATGTTTCGCTGAGATCTTGATTGGTAGCTGCATGCATGTTCTGCTCGCGATACAACACAGAACCGATGGGTACTAATCGACATCAGACATGTTGCCAACTTTTCTCGTTGTCCGAGGAACTGCTATCCCAGGGGTTGAACATCATGACAGATGTACCTCGACTGACTTTCGCCTTCAACCAGAACAAGATCGTGCAGGACCACCAGCAGCAAAGGGGAATGATTAAGCTCGGCACCGAACACGCCTCTGTGCGCGCATAGGTCTTGTCAGTGCTCCAGGGCAATCAGAGCATTTGCTTATTTCTCTCGCGCTTGCATGGGCGATTACGGCTTGGAGTTGCTCAGGAAAGTCTTTGCATTCTGGGTGTTCTATACTCTCAGGGTGTCCAATGCGCTTTTGGGCATGAATAGTCCAGGCAATCAGAGTGCCGTCGTCAGCTTTCGACTTGGTTCTTCTGCAATGACGAAACTTCAAGGCTTTGATCCTCCCAACGAGAGGTCTGTGTTTGTTTGGGCTGACTTGCGGCGATACTGTAGTTAGATTGTCTGTGCCTCAGGACGTCGAGCTCGGTCTCGCAGACGTCGGCTTCGTGAGAACCGACTTGATCGATCGAAATGTTGCTAACAACCTAACGAAGTGGCCTGGCTGCCTTGTGGGACGTTCAAAATACATTCTAGTCGTATCAACTGACTGCGTCTCTCGCGTGGCATGAAGCAGCTAAGGTGGGAATATTTCAGAGTGATCGGCCAGATCCCGGCAGCTTGCCAGCAAGCGTCTAGTACCAGTATCTGGTGAAAGGTCCCTCGGTAAGGAAATTCTGAAGCTTAGGCAAGCTCAACAAATTGGTAAGAACATGCACTGTTGTCGTGGGCTCTTTGGCTTCCCGTTTGTACTGGGTCCTGTGCACATATTTGGTTGCTTCGGCAGGGGCTCTGAGCAGCGGGGCTGTGCCACTTCATATTGAAGGGAACCTCCACATTGAAGCCATATCGTCAGCACGGTTCAGAACGCAGACTAACGCTGGAACGACACATCTAGGAATCTAGGCACTGGTTTTTTGCAGGACTCGGACTTCCCATTCGCTCGCTCCACGGCTTTCACACCGGAGTGGCCCATCGGGGCTTTGCCACACGTGACTGACGAGGCTTGGGCGAGTCGTGTCTTCGGACCTCTCGATTCTTTTCAAACCTCCAAGTCCACCCAGCCTTCCCATTGTTGATGTAAGGTTTGGCCGTGGCAGTTTGAGATTGCTACTAGTAACTAGCAAACAAGCTGCAAAAGTCCGACTTGTGCGCCTCCGATTATTCTTATCTTGGGCACAGGTCAAGGAGCTGGTCGCAAGCTCCCTCATGGCTCTTGATCGTTTCTCACCGGATCCAGAGTTGTCCGAGCCAGCGATTGCAGGCATGACCGGGGTCATCTCAGATCAAGACTCCCAACCTCGTCTGGTGCGATTTCAGTGTAGCAACCCGTGGAAATCTCACATGCTTTACTAGAAAATGTCATGCCTTACAACCTCAAGTTTCCGATCGGAGAACTGCGGATTGCTGGCTCTAACAACTTCTAACCCTGCCACGAACATTTGTCGTGCTGGTGGGCACACTGGACTCAGCATGGCGGCACGACCCGACTGTGCCAGCTGCCAGGCAACTTTGCCAGCTGGTCCACACCAATGACTCCTGAACAGCAGCTAGCAAGTCCGACGTAACTCAGGGCCTGAACCCACTTATTTTGTGAAGGAGTTCTTGTGGCTTTGAGCCTCCCGATCCTTAAGCCATCACTGTAATACATTGTAAGAGTCCAACAAGCTTTCGGAACAGCCAGTGCGAACGGCATTCCGACATGTTAAGTCCGAGAGTTGAGAGCTTCAGGTCCGAAGTATGATTACTTTTCCAGACATCAAACTCTGCTGCGTCCTTCCTGGTGCATATCTGGAATCAATTTTTCAACAAGGTACGAAACTTCAGAGCTTCAGGATGAAATGCTTCCTGCATAAACGTTTAGGCCATGTGCTGACCGTTAAGGAACTATTTCGGTCTTCTGGACATGCTCCAAAGCATCGAGAGTCTCACCTGCAACTTACATTCCTGGGGAGTCTTGGGGTTCCGATTGCTGCCCTGGCTATCCGTCAAGCTTGTTGCAGCTGCGCCTGGATCCATGCCGGAGGTCAAGAGTCGAGCTTCTGTTTTAGGGTGAGTGCTGATTGTCAACGAAACCAGAAGAAAGCAAGGCCCAGTCCGCGCCAAAAACGGTAGCCAGGTCCTAGCGTCATCCTCAAAGCAGTGCAAAAGGCTTAGATTTTGGACTCACCGATGAGTTCTGTAATTCAGAATCGCAGCTCGAATCTTCTCGCTGCGGGGTTACTCCTTTCGACTCAGCGCAGCCGAGGTATTACGACCAAAGCTCAAAGAAGTGCTTGCGGAGTTCGGATGAGTACGAGCCACGGCTGAGCCAAGCTTTCGACTACAGTAACGGGACTTATTACATTCAAGGCTCTTCGGGGCATTGATCTTCGTGCGTCATGAAAGTCAGCTGATTCGGGGCTCCAGGATAAAAGCCGCACAGGGAACTGTTTGTTGGCGATGGTGCAGAGGAACGGTTACAATCGCGATGTGGGATGGATGTCTCTTGCGTTGTGTTTGCGTGCTTCCGACAGACTGTGCACGCCTGTACCTGCATTCGAGACCTCCAGAAATCCAGAAATTTGCAGGACGAGCCGAACTCGCAAGATTAGCGGAAGGGCTCCGTTCAGAAATAGATAAAGTCAGAAAATCTCTGAAATTGTTAGCTCACTGTTCTCTTCTTGCGCCGCTCGCCACTTCTTGAAGAGGGCTCTGGCTCCCTCTCTTTACGACCGGTCATCACCAGTCTCACCTGTACAAGTTCGGTAGCTGTGTGTTAAGTTGTGGTTGGTGCGTTCGGAGTGGCTCTGGTGGCTGTATGCTTAGTATGCTTACGAATTTCATGAGCATCGAGGTGGCTATCTTGCACTGGCATGCTGTGCATGTCCTATTCGGTGACAGCCGCGACCACGACCACAACCGCATGTTAACCAGTATCATCAGGACAGTTGGTCGTTTCTCTTCCCCTCGTTTAGGTTACCAACCACCAGCCATTGCTGCGAAGACAAGCTACGCAGGTTGTAGTTATGATTGTACTTATGATTGACCTCGAGTGTGACAAGGGATTGTTCCCACTGCTGCCTTTCGCTCTTGTGTCAGTCTGCGCTTGGTACCGCTAGAGCAATTCTGAGCATTGTGCTCATGGATGTTGCTTAGACTATACTGTTTGCACTGTTCAGCGTCGGTTATTTGCTACACTTCGTATCCCGTGAAGACCAGCAGACGGCTGTCGTCGGCAGAGGCGGATCGGATGCCCGGATGAAAATGTATTGATGGAGCGAGCGGGCAAGTTCCTAGAGCCGTAACCACAACCGAGGAGGCAATCAAGTGCCCCGCCGGCTTTGTCAAGAAGGCGAGAGACAAGGTGTTTTGCGAGGACTGTGCTTTTGTGCCCAGAGTCTTGACATGTGTTGTTGCCAGCTGCCTGGGTTCAGTGATGCTCGCACAAGCTATCCGAAGCTCAGATAGAACGCGCAAGCTTTGATACTCAATTCTTAGGTGATGGTGCTGGTGAGGCTCAATCTAAAAATGTGTTGGCTTCCCACCTGCGCACCTGCCTGCGCCTTCGTTGTTTTGGGCATTTGTTGTTTTTCTCCGTCCAGCCTTCTTGTTCGTTCGTTGCTGGCCTCCTGCTTTCTTCCTTCACACCAGCGATGCTTCCTCAATCCCTTCCACGCTTCCTTCATATTCTCCTTGTTCGCCGCCCGTCTTCCCGTCCTGGCTCCCTTCCTCTTGGCGTTTTGTTTTCAGCTTTTTAAATAAGAAGACATTCACGGGCGCAGCGGCGAGATTCAAAGTTGAAATCAAAAACAATTGACTTTTTTGCCCGTAGGCCACAGCTACTATGTGCTGCTCAAACCTCATGCTCCAGGCACAGATACGATACAACTTGCTGCAGGAGGCAACACATACTACACAACGCGAGAGTTTACACCCACAAGTTGTTGCAAGTGAAGTCCCCTACAGCTTCTCCTTGCTACTTTCAACCTCAATGCCTTCAATCAACCGTTTCTCCTTGCCACGATCTCTCCAGGAAGCTGGTTTGACAGTCCCTGCAAGTCTCTGGATTGAGCAACGGTTCCACTTTTCTCTGGAACCCAATGCACTACACTCCCTAACCGTGTGGATCAATGTATGAACCTAATCCGGACTACGCAGACATCTCGACGGAGCCAGAACTTCGTTCGCCAGTTTGACGAATGTGTGCACACAAGCGACCGGTTGTGTGAGATGTGTGTATGCGACAGGGTTGTACTCCACACCCTTTCATCTGCAGTCGCGGCGGTGCACATAGCAAGTCCTCGTACTCCTGGGAGCAGTGCCAGTATGTGTTTGCGGTAGTATCCTGACCACCGTGGTGACTCGTGCTGACGACTCTGATAGGGAGAGTCAAATGCACAACAGGGGGGCTGGAGTACATGGATGTCTTTTCCACAGCACCGCTAACGGCGTTGTCGACGACGTCAACTAGGACAGCCAGAATTACTTCGACAACCACTAATGCCTACTAAGTTACTAGTAGCATTGCTCTAAAATTACTAGAACAACAGCTATCGCATACCCAAGTGTAGAGCTGTCCACACATGCCAAGCTGTCGAATCGACGACCTACCGAGAGGGTTTTTGAACATTGTTTCTCGGTGATCTCCCAGGCAGAAATGTAAAATTCAGAGGCGGCCCCGTGTTCCTTTGATGGGCGTAGGGATATGCAGACCTTTTCGGCGCTTGTCGTCAATCCTCGCCACAATCCGCGCGTCATCCCGTTTACGATTCGGATACCTCTGATAATTACAGCTTTTGTAGAAGACCTGTGCAGTCCCGCCTGTACTCCTTAGAAAAATCGACAAACCCGAGCCCGAAGCTCCAAAAGGAGCGCAGTGTGAAAGCCGTAAACCCACAACGTAGATGGTGACGTTGCCCTGAAAAGAACGAGGAGTTGCAAAATCGATCTCAATCAAAATACCTTGAACCTGTAAAGGCATAACCATGTTTATGCAGACAAGCTCGAGGACAAAGCAAACGAAACTCCGGTTCCAATTCCCCGAACCAGCTCGAACCTATGGACTTGACTATCTTCTGACCCTGGGGAGGACTGTCGCACTGGCTACAGCTGCCTTTGCTCTCCTTGTGCAAAGCTGCGGGATCCAGAATACGCGCCCTTGCTCGTAGAGCTCGGCGGTTGAATAAATTGATTAGTCGCGCAGTGGTTCGATTGGCCCCGAAGCCTGGTGCTCGTACTATTTGGAGACTGGAACTTTGCAGTTATTGGTTTGGCACCCATGGACATCAGTCGCTTAGCGAGCCCATGGCACTGAAGCACCAACTTGGAAAACCACCAAAGGGCTTGTCTAGAATCTAGAGCCAGTTGCCCTTGCCAGGAAGAATTAAGACAGTCGTAGAGCTCTCTACTACTACGACGACGACTACTACTACTTACTACCACCACTACTTCTACCACAACTACTACTGCAACTACTATTACGACTACTCACTACAACTACTATGCTACTGCTACTCCTACTGCTACTGCTACTGCCACTGCTGCTACTACTACTACTACTACCACCACCACTACCACTACTACTATTACTACCACTACTACCACTCCTACCGCTACTGCTGCTACTGCTTCTGCTGCTGCTGCTGCTGCTGCTGCTGCTGGCTGCTGCTGGCTGCTGCTGGCTGCTGCGGCTGCGGCTGCTGCTGCTGCTGCTGCTGCTTCGGCTGCTGCTACCTCCACCACCTGCTGTACCACCGCTTCCCAATACCACTACCACCACCAGTGGAACTACCGCCACACGACGACGAACCACTAGCTTTTTCTGGTCTGTTTGTAGGAGCTCCTGCAAATCTTGGTCGTAGCTATCGCTATGGTGCTGGTTGCGGTCGATGTGGTCACCGTGATAGTGGAAGCATAACCCCGTCATAATCGGGTTAATTGGTGTGGGAAAACATACAAGCGGCAATTGTTACATTGCCGCAGTTGCTGCACCGAGAATAGGAGAGCATCCATCGAAGCAGCCGTGATAAGACAAATAGGAGGAGATCTCGGTGACACGAGTACCTACCCAGGCTCAAACGAAGCCGTGCTTCTTCAGGTGTTGAAAGCTTCATTGTCGAGTACAGCCTGGATGGGTAATGTCGACGTTGGTCAGGCCTCTCCGTGTGGATTGGGTGAAAGCTTTGAGCACGAATGACCGCAAGTGGCATTCATCTCCCCGTCGCTGTCTTTCCGTATGACTTCCTTTCCCCCCCCTTCCCTCCCCTCCCGTCCCCTTCCCTCTCCCCTCCCTCCCCTTCCCTTTCCCTTCCCCGTCTCTTCACTCCCCTCTCCCCTTCCCTCCGCTTCCGCCCTCTCCTCTCCCTCAACTTGTGGTGCCTAGCATCCAGCTGAACAGGAAATACCTTAAACGAAAGCGCAATCGATCCGGCAAAGGTGAACAACGAGACTATTGTTGCGAGCAGCTGCGAGCGCATGTCCGTGTGCGGCCGATGGACCATCAGATAGTATGCCAGTTTTCTAAAAGAAATCATGTTGTGGCACCGTTCCTTGTCGATGTGGTGATAGACTTCAGAGTACTAATTGTAGTAAAATGTTCACCAAGGTCAGGTCTTTACCGGACAAAAGCTCCGGTGGGTTCTATTGGATCAGATCGGGACTGCAAGTCGACTCGCCATTAACGCACCACTGGTAACCAGTGTGAGCATTCGCACGAGTGTGGATGGACCATGGCTTTCTACGGATGTTCGCAACATCACGATCGAGGACGCGGACACGCAGGAGTATTCTCTGGAATATGAAGCGCAAGGTTCTGGCACACAAGTGATTCAAGTGGACATCAATGGTCAACCAGCGGCCCTGTCGCCTGTGGTTCTCGAAGTTCGTCCCCCGCCATTACGCCAGATTGACTGCCCTCCTGGCAGGCAGCCAGACTTTGACGGCGTTTGCACAGCTTGTGCACCAGGCACTGCTTCAGCGGGCGGTGGTGCCCCATGCCGACCATGCGATCCGGGCACTTCCCAGCCACTTGCAGAGCAGTCAAACTGCGAGGCTTGCGCAGTCGGCACATTCCAAGAGTCACCCGCGTCGCTGCACTGTGAGTTGTGTCCGCCAGGATATTCCAGCCGCGGCAAGATTGGGTCTCTGGTTTGCAGTGCATGTGATCCTGGCCAGGAGGCTCCCAACAATGGCTCCGAGAGGTGTTCACTTTGTCCTCGTGGGTTTTACAGCGAAGAGGAGGGATCCAGCCATTGTGTACAGTGCAACGGTGGGAAAGGGACCACCGAACAGGGTGTGACAGATCCCGGTCTATGCATTTGCCTCCCTGGAGAGTTCCTTGCCGATGCTTCAGAAAGCATTTGGGCAGCACGTGGCAGTTCGTACATAGTCGTTCTGTTCGGATTGTATGTGCAAGCAAGGGCGGACCTTGGCACCAAGAAGCGCCTATTCTGGAGCTGAAGAACCAAGCAGCACCCCAATGCCCCATGAACCCATCTCGCGAGGCTAGACTTGTTGGACAACAGACAATTGAGGGATCCAACTCAGTTATGAATTTCTGACAGAGTCGACAGCCCCTTGCACACGGATTCTTCGTAGGCGCATGCCAAAGCACAGTTGCCCTCCTTTAAATCCGTCTCCGCGCGTTCGGACGAGCCTTCCCGACAGCTAACGGCCCACCCAGGCAACGTCCCTTCAGCTTTGGGCGGACAATGCGTTCCATGCCTTGAGGGACTCGTCTGTCCAGGACTCTGGGGAGATTCAAGGGTTGCTGTTAATTGAAACCGTGTCACAACTTTGCACGGTGGTCAGTGGGGTGGATCCGCGGCAATGGCTGTCTCAACCTAGCAATGGCATAAGGAAGTGCAGGAGCGGTATGTTCTACAAAAACTGGTAAGCCTGGTGAGTACGGGTTTTGTGCCTCGAGGCCCGTACCAGCCTAAGCTTGTTTCACCTTGGGTCAAGTCTTGATTTCCTTATTATTACATAATTCAATTCACATATCAGATATGTTCAACCTAGCAGTGCTGCGCAGCATGCATGGATAGCAGGCATCTAAGTCTCGACACTGCCTGAAGCCGCAGGAGGCAACGGCCCTCCGTTGCAAAAAGCTGGATACTGGGTGGACACTGCAGGGCACGCAACTTGTCAAGGGTGCAGGCAACCTTGTACTTGCACAGCATCCATACCTGAAGCCCTGCTGGTCAGATTATGATGCCGAGAAGGTGAGGACCTAACCCAGACCCCGAATTCACGGAAACCTTCCCAGGAAGTTGAACGCCCATCTGTGGCTGAGCCATGCTTTGAGCAGGGCAACCACGTGAGACATGTAGATTTTGCCTCGTATATCTCCAGAAAATGTCGAGGCTTGATTCTGCAGCAGCAAATGTAGCAGTTGCGGTCTGATCCTGCGGCATATATGCCGGGTTCAAGAAGCTCCTGCACAGATCCTCAGACGCCATTCCTGTGTTCTGCACTGGTGCACTGAGGGACACTCAGCCTACCGGTGCCGCGATAAGTGGCAATGTCCAGAGGCTCCGAAGCCTTGGGAAGATTGACGGTCCAAACTTGTCCAAAGGTACGTCATTATTGAGATCTAAGCTATGATAAGCTATGACAAAGGCCCTATTTCAAGGTGTCGGAATCAAGGACCTCCCCATTATTTTCTGCCTTGGTCAGGGCATGTGAAGTCGAAGCCCTAAGCCATGGTGCTGCAGGGGCCTTTGGGTTGGTGCTCCGATGGCCGTGAGGGGCGCGCTTGCAACAACTGCAAGGCACGAATAGACTGAACAGGGGGTCATCCTTTTGGCTTTCCTCGGCATTTGCTGGGGATGCTGGCAGAGGTCATGGGCGGGCCGGCATTCATTGTGGGAGTATTCGTTGTCGCAGGGTTGCAGTTTTACTTTGTTCTTGAATTTTGCCGTGGGGCTCCAAGTACCTTAATAACAATTAATAATTAATATGCTCCCTCCCCCAGTATGCTTCGCACAGCGGCACAGCGGTCCTGCAGGACACAACAGAAGCTCCGGAATTTGTACATGACGCAAATGTCACCACCGCAACCCGCAAATGCTGATGGATCAAGCAAACTGCGCTTGTGCCCGTGCGCGACAGGAGTGGCATCGTCAAGGAACACAAGGCAGATGCAAGCCGTGTGAGGGTGTGGCTGGGACATCAAGCTTGCCTCTGCCTTTCTGAACGGCATGTTTTGTGCCAGGCCCTTGTGATCGATTGCGAGTCGAACTTCCTAAGGTGGATGTTCTTCCGGCGATGCTGCTGTTGCTGGCAACAGTGCTGACCGGAGGGGTCTTGCTTTCCTTCGTCCACACCAATGCAGCGCGCCAGCGGCATCTTGACTGAATTCATCTCCGGACGGCGGTCAGACAAGGCAGAGTGGCCCGGTTGCCGACATGCAATTGCGAGCCGGTTGAACTGTACATAGATGTCAGGATCCTCAGCCAAGGCTTGGCCAGGTGACCGTATTCCTGACCGCCGGCCAGCCACTTGCAGCAAAGGGAGTCCAGAGGGATTGGCGTCTGCGCAACGATGTTCATGTTACTGTTCAACATCCGATACCCCTCGCAAGGATAATCCTGATGTTGCAACTCATGGCGGCCATGAGGAGCGGGCAGTGCGTAGTGTTCACCGGCAAGGGCAGCCGAAGCTCCCATCAAGTCCGCGATTCGTGGTTTTTCATCCGCAACCTGATCTGTGAACACGCTAACGCTTAATCCGACTTCCCCAAGTCCAAGCCATAGAGGCAATGTCTGAAAGTTGAGACACTTGTCCGACTGACTGTGCAGGGCTGCAGGGCCCAAAGATTCGGAGTCCCTGGAAGTCTTTTGGGTCATCGTAGACACGCTTGCCTTGGGTTCTGTACCTGGTAACGTAGTTGCCCCAAGAGTGCATCAATATGTTATTCAACCAAGCCGTTGCAATAGGTTCACAGCTGACCAACCGAAGATGCCAAGTTTTTGCTTCCGAACTCTTGTCCTGAGACAGGCATCGCAAGCACCTAATCCTGAAGTTTCAATGCGACATCTGAACTTACACGTCTGAGCCATGCTGACAGGAACTTGGATTTGCAATGGACAGGCGGGCCTTGTGTCGGATGGAGGTTGTATTTATGCCTGTTTGGTTTGATTGTTCCGCTTGTATGCAGGGTTTTGCAGGAGGAACCCGACGAAAGGTTATCAAACTCCTGGATACGAAACAACGAAATAAGCTAATAGCCGTGCAGGCGAGATGCTGCAAATGCATGCGCGGCTTTTGTTTGGAGCTCATCAGGTAAGTTGGAGCCTGCCTTTCCTACGTACAGGACCTGCACTCTACGTGATTGAGTTTCTTGATATCTTTGCCTTTGACGTGGACTTCCTGAACATAGGACGACATGCATGCTCAGACATAGACAGACCCTCAGGTTCGCAGGCTGGGCACCATACCGAGGAAAGAGGTCAGTGGTCCAATCAGTGCAGGATGCGTCGTGTCCAACGACGGCGCTGTGCTAACCTTTGCCATGCAGCTTTTGGCGTACCCAGTTTTTGCAGCATTGCTCATGCTTGTGTGGGCCACTGTGCTGCAAGTTTGGCCTTTCTTTCATGTCGCTGCACAGTAGGCAGAGCTTTGCAGTGCTGTGCGTCGGCGGACTTCGCAGGTTGTGCATCCAGCTGTGTCTCGTAGCGAAAGCCGCTGAATCTCGTTGATTTCAGGTTTGCATCAGCCGACTGGGGCTGGAGGTCGGGGTGGCAGATGGGTGAGTGGAGTGCAGCAGCGTGTCCAGTCCAAAGGCATATCCAGCTGCTTGCATGCAGTGCTTCGTTGCAGGTAACATGGAACGATGTGGTCAACATGAACGGCTTGGCCTTGCTCACGCTGTACATGACTCTCACCATCAACTCGCTTTTGCCATTGCAATGCATCGCCAACCCGAACGGGACTTTCAGCATGCAGACACAGCCTGGTGTGCCCGGCACTCAGTCGTTGGGAGATCTCGACTTGGTCGGACTCTGCCCGGTTGCGAGGATATGCTTCCAGTCCGATGAGCACTGGGCGCTGATGTTCATGTGCGTTCTCGGCATCCTTATGTACCCAGTGGCTATTCTTACCGTGGCTTTGAGGGCCACGATTATGTATCCGCACCTTGCCCAAAGTCGCATCTAGCATCATCACCGCAGGTCAAGGTAAGGAGAGTGGTCGAAACAGTTGGAAGCTGCGTAGGCTTGTGCAGCCTCATGAAGCCCAAGGCTAGGGAAGAAAAGTACGTAAAGAAAGGAGCAGACAGGCTAGACGACAAGCTGGCTTCAGAGTATCGGAACTCACAACGAGCAAGTCGGTGCGTCAGAATCAGCAAACCATCGTCGGCGGCCTTGCAAAGTTCCAATACTCTTGAACTGCTCGACGCTGTGTTATTGCAAACCAGTCTCTCCTGTCTCCTTCGTCACAAGACAGGTCGCCGTCACGTCCAGTTTGTTGCAAACATGATTGCCGGTGCAGGCTGATGGATAGCATTGAGTCGCAAGACATACACACGTGCCTTCATCGTTGTGTTCACGAGTGTCCTTCGAACATCGGGTGTGCTCTTGCACCTGCTCTGTTTAGCTCGTTCTTACCCTGTTTGTTTATCCCGCTTTTCTCAGGCCCCTGCAAGTAGGTGGTCACTGTCGCCAGCCGGCCAAGACGCGGTGCGGCGCAGAACTTGAACCCAAAAACGACACCCGAATGAGCATCAAAGTCAAAATTGAAAGCCCGCATTACGGTACTGGCTTTTGCACCCAATAGTGGACTGACAAGGTGAGCAGAAGAGTTTGTGGGAGCGGGACACGAGGCGTGATCTTTGCTGACAGCAGCCCTTCGAAAGCGAAGGTCCTACATCAGCTCCGGGAAGGGACTCCTTATCGTCAATCGATACCGATTCCTATTCGAGCGATTTCGCTCCCTGGCATTTTGGGTAGGCAGGTGTTGAGGCGAGCGGAGTTCATGCAGATGTTGGTTGAATGCTGGTTGGAGCGTCTTGTGATGTCTTGTGGATTTTAAATCCTCTATCGATGTACTGTAGAGGACTCTAAAGTCAGCCTGTGCTGTCGAGCGAGTAACTGCAAGTCCAACTAATCAGGTGTGCATCTTTACACCAAGATTGCGTGGGAGCTTTGTTACAGCTCCTGGCGCAGGACTTGCTGCCGCAAACCCTCCAAAAATGCTCTCATGCCCTGCTTGCACTCAGCAGTCAACCAATGCGTAACATGCAAGGCCGACACAGCATGATGTTAATGGTGATGATGATGATGACGATGATGATGATGATGATGGCGACGGGGGAATTTGGAGGCAGAAGCAAAGATCGAGGAAAAGTACGGTGCGCGTGGCAGCTAGGGGATCTTTTGGACCGAGCGAACATCCACGAAGACTGAACCGTCAGTCGGATGTGGCGAAACTGAGAGCTGCACCATGTGACGACCCCAAGATTCGCGGCCTTGAAGTCATCCTGCATACAAAACCGCCAAGGTGCTAGCCGCTATTTCTACGGCGTGGCTCCGACAGCATTTCGATACCTCCGAAATATCAAAACCGAAGGGAAAGAACGAACTGGTGCAAACTCAACGTTGCGAGCGGGCAATGCACGCGGAATTGAGTTTCAGGAGCAGGGGTCCCAGATTTGGCGTAGCCTGTTTTTGCTGCTCCGTTTGTATTGAAGGCATCGAGGAACCGACTAAGCTTGAATTCTGAGCTCAAGCATGCTTCAAGGTATGCGTACAGCTTCATCTTTGTGGTTGCAGGTTTCCAAGTCTGCCTTCAGTCCGCTTTGGACCCACGCGTCCGACCAACACTGCTAGATTCATACCCGGAAGCCATCGTCGCAGCACTCAACTTCTGGTATCAGTTCAATGAATGCGAAAGGCTCTAGCTGCCATTCTGTTCTTGTTTTCGAGCCACTGTTGGAGCGATGATCTTACTGGTGCCAAGACACGGGAGAGAGTGCAGCCACATGCGCTCTCGGCTGAGGTCAGCTATCTGCTGAGGACCCGCATTGGGGTTGCTGAAAAAGGTTTTGGTGTATTTTATCACCACCGCTGCCATCTCCAGTCGATCAGTCGAGTGTAAAGGGGAACACCTACCGATCCTTCAAAGCACTTGCCCGGCACAGACGCATAGCCCAACCTGCCTTGGGGTTTGTAGCCGGAGGGCTTCCAATAGTACGATCTCTCAGCCGAAGCCTCAAGCCCAGGTCCCCATCCATGAGTCGAAATGGCAGCAGCCTGGCAGGAACACGCTCCTGGCCCTCATTCCTGTTGCTGTCGCGAGCTTCCCGACAGTCCAAGTCGTTTTACTGGCGGCCGTGCTCCTCGCAGGCCGGCAGTTGTTGTTTTTTTCCCCATTGTTTTTCCCAACCAGGCCTTGCGAGAAATGCCAGTCACCTATGCCTTGGATGTCCACCTTCGAAGACCGAAAGTCCCAGGCGAACAACTGCCCCACACCCCTTGCCTTGCGCATGTGTTCCATGAAATCTCTCGGAGGCATGCTGGTGCAGATCCGCACATGGCCGTGGAGGACGCAAGTGGCCAACGCATCGGCCCCAGATGAAAGGGGCCGAGCCAAGACTGCTTCTATCTGGTAAAAGCCTTTCAAGATTCAAACCGCGGCTCCTCGGGGTATTGCTCGAGCGCTTTCTGCTTTGTGTATGTGTACTCACATTGATGCCCGGGCGAAGGGAATGCTATAGATGCCAGATAGTCTGTGAATGGGCTGGTACTGGCAGCCGGCGATGCCAAAGATGCTTAGGTCACAGACATGCTGTTCTCTACTGCCGTGGTGCTTTTCCTCGTGGTGGCGGGGCCCATCCTCAGTTCCGAGTCGGCTCAAGACCGCCAGGCTTATGCAGCATGGCCGAAGGGGCCATGGCAAAGGCGTGCCGTGGGCCGTAGGCATGCCATTGACCTGGCTGATCGAATCTTGCAGAGAACACTGGAAGGCGCAGGGCTAAGTGCAGAAACGAGCAACTTACCTAAGGCAGGCTTTTTGTCCTGGTCCTTCACCATGCTGCTGGCCTTTGCCTTTTTGACCTTGTTTGTAACGATTGCCCTCTTCCTGTGGAGAGCCTCGGCATGGATGGTGGAGCCTTCTTCTCCGCTTCCCCTGCAGTTTCGGGGGATGCAACCTTTCAGCTGCTTTCCCCTCAGCACTGGCTTTCGGCTAAGTGGCTAGGTGCCTGCCTATGGCTCCCAGAAAAACGACGGCCTTGAAGCGGCCATCATGTGAAACCTGAGCCCGACGACCTGCAGCCAAAGCCCGCATGCGATTCGTATAGACTCTGCTTCAGGACGATGCCATCCAGAAGCTTGGCTTTGTTAAATTGTTTGGCCCAGGGCTCAAGGCATGACTGCGTGCTGCCATGTGAAGCCAGTTAGTACCAGTTCGGCTTTGTGAAGCTATGGTATGTCAGTTGGGTATCCTATTCTGTCCTGGAAATAGAATCTTGTCGTTTTCCTGCTTTGTGGCAGTCGCGGAGATCAACGAATCGCAAGCTTTCATTCGGGCGCAGATTAGGGTCGTGAGGCTTCAGAGACTGCAGCAATTTTGCACAAGCTGACGTACCGAAGAGCCTGGCTTGGAATCCGAAGGATTCCCAGCATCTAGCCTAAAGCTACGTTCGCCTTGTGGCTGCATCCAGCGCAAGGAAAAGACCTTCAAGATCTTCCTGACGCATCACAAGAGCGCCTGAGACGCATGCGCCTGTAGCCGGGAAGGGGAGTGAAGGCGCGCGACATGGCAAGAACGAGTTGCGACTAGCGAAAGCAGGATGCCCGCACCAGGCCGATGCTTGCTCTTCCACGGCCATTTATCTTGAATGGTTCTGGGAACAAAGCAAGGTGCAGCCGGCGCCCTTGCACGCTTCATCAAGAGCATCTTGAACAAGCACTCCCATGACAAAGCTGCTTGGATTTGTGCAAACACTTCCCCAGGCAACTGCCCTCGAAAAACGGGCAAGTCATCGGTGAAGCTACGAATCTGTAGAACCCCCCCCCCCCGCCAGGGCAGCAGGTTCTGTGAGCACTCGCAACCCGAACGGTTTCGCAGATATCTATCGACACACGGGATGACCGACTGAAAATATGATGCCAGTTGCAGCCCTAACCGTTGAAGACTGATGCCGCACCCAAGTCCATGGACCTGCAGCAACTCCCCGAGGTTTTCTTGGACTCTGATGAGTTGCAGGACTTGGATTCTCTGTTCGAGAGCGCAACTCGTCACCGGTTTAGTCCGAACCCGCCTTGGCCGCGAATCCTGGGACGTCGGATATCTTCGCGTAACTCCATTCGACTTGGACTACTGCAGCTTCTGCCCTGGAGATCGATGCACGATCTTCCCACGCTTAGGACGCATACTGGCAGCCCCATGCAGAGGTGATTGTAGTTTCCTTGCATGGTGTGCTGGACCTGGAGCCGAGCAGCCTTTGCAAATAAGGAGGAGAGCATTGGAAGAGCGGTACTAGCATTGAGAGGCGTCGGGCCAGCCTTCTGAACCGAGGGTCCGGATTTTCCGTGCTTTACTGCCGGCCTGTTCTTAGGAATCGGGTGCTCCTGTCTCGAGTCGTAAACGGTAAGTTTTAAGTAAGGCTTGGGCATCGGTGCGGCAGTCAGCAGCTTTTAGTTCCCCGCGGTTGATCCTTGGGTTCAGTGTGTGGAAACCGGAAATGCCTCGGTTTTTCGGGTCTGAGAACGGAGGGCCTATTTTTTTGGGT